TCTATGCCTTCATGATCATGGCAAATAACTTTAGTGAGACTTACATCAGAAATCTGGTGAGTAACATTATCAAAGATATTGACACTTCAACACCACAGGGAAGGTTGTATGCCTTTCTTGCTTTGCTAAACACATTTGTCAATGGATCATACATGTCACTCTCTTTATGTGAAGAGTTAGTGGGCATAAAGAATGCTCTGTGGAAGCAGGAAACTCTTGATGATAAAATGAATCCCTACTCAACACTTCTGCTAACATTTAGTGTTGAGGAGCATGGCACCTTTCAGGCAGTAAGATTCTTACACCCAATGATTTCCAACAAGTGTCTGCAAATCCTGAACCAAGAGCAAAAACTTCCTTTGTCTGAGATCGTCATTGACATTTTGCATTGTGACCGAATCTACAAATGCTGCATGGGAAAAGATTTCCTGGTCCAGAACATCCAAAGCATGCTCATCACACGCCACAGAAAAGAACAAGGGAACGAAAAAGACACTCTGTTCTCTCCTTTGGTTGAAAGGATTGCTGAAGAGGAAGGACCGGAAAAAATCAAAGAAGTCCTGGAGAAAGCCATCGAAAGATTTGACAGAAGTGCAACACTGCCACAGGCACTGGCAAGACATTTCTACTTAAAAGAAAAAGACTTTGGTTCTGCCCTCTATTGGGCTCAGGATGCACAACGGAAAATGTCCAATTCATACATTGCAGATACAGTTGGACAGATTTACAAGAGCCAATTCAAAAAGAAAATAGAAGATTCTAAGCCTTTCACACCTGAATCACTTGACGAATGCCTCACTTTATGTTCCAAAGCTGTGAAAGCCTTCCAGGAGTCTCAGGAGCTCGCCAAAACAGATCAACAAGTAGACCATTTTGATCTGCACGGCGTAAGGAGACCAAAGACCTACAATACAGCAGGTTACGTTGGAGAGACTGAAGTCATGATAACCTTACTTGACATCATCAAAGATATTTTTGAAGTCAATGACAAACCTCAAAGAGATCAAATTTTACAAGTTCTCAAAGGTGACAAGGTGAGCAATTTACGTTTTGACCCCGACAACACAACCATGTGTCGGTTTGTGACGGTCCTGGCAAGCCATGAGAGATTTCTGACCTCCCTAAAGCCAAGACTGAAGGAAATTTTCAATTTCTTTGAGAACTACTTCACATACCTAAGGCCTAGGTCACAGGAAAGGGAAACAGCTGATGAAAAACACAAAAGAAAGCTGTCAGAGTTCTTCAGAAAATATTTGCAACTATTCAGTCAGTCAGAAGAGGAGAGATTAAATGAAAAAGCAAGAAACCCAAATTTGAGTCTCAGTCAAGAGCTGGTGGACCACAGGTACTACCTGGAAACAAAGAGAGCAGACTCTTTTGCTGGACTTTTGCAGTGCTTGAGTGACAAAAACTGGGTGGAAATGGAACACATTCTCAAAAATTGGAAATTCCTCTTTGACAACACACCCTCCAGATCCCTGTTAGATACAGTCAACTTCATTTTGGCAAACATAGTGATGCACTCTATAAAGCCCTCTTCAAAGTTTTTAAAAAAATATGAAGAGTTGGTCGATCTTCTGAACAAAGAACTACAAAAAGCAGGCACCTATTCGCATTTCACAGAGTTGTATTACCTGTCCATGCTGCTCATGTGGCCCACAAAAGACAGAAAACTTGAAAGTTTTCCAACATACACACATGTTAGCACATACATCACATCAACTAAGAAATCTTTCCATCGGCGCTTTTCACACATGTTTCCAGCAAGGAGTGCCATTGCCCATTTCTTTCTTGGTAATTCCTCTGGACTAAGGCGAATAATTTCCAAAGTGAAACTTGACCAAATTTTGGTCAGTGTTCAAGGACAGAGCAATCTGCACAATCTCTGGCAGAGTGGAGCAGCTTGGAATGTTCCAGAGGTTCAGAAAGAGCTGTTACGGATCAAAGGGAAATTGGAAAATGGAGAGATTTTTGTGAACTATGGCGGCAGCCTAAAAATGTTTGTGCGTCCAGTTTACTTAGGGGACATCCGAAGTGGGTACAGTCGGGAGAAAGTATCCTTTTACCTTGGTTTCACAATGGAAGGACCTGTGGCATATAACATTAAGTATGAAAATGACCCATGACAGATATTAATTGATATGATTGAGAACTCTATGACAACTGTACAGTGGACAAGGGATACCAACTCATAATACAGGGCCTCGACAATGAAACTGAAACACATTTCATTTTAGTGTGGGAGGTTTCATGGCTAAATTTGACCAGCCTGGTGGCCAATCTTCATTAATTGCACATTGAACAAATAAGAGCAGACTGTGAAGGTCCAATTAGCAGGGTAAGAGCACAGTTTTGCTCAAAATATTGCAATGCACAGAACATTATGGCTGACATACAAGAGTTCAAAAGAGGATAAATTGTTGGTGGACGTCTTGCTGGCGCATCTGTGACCAAGACAGCAAGTCTTTGTGATGTATCAAGAGCCACGGTATCCAGGGTAATGTCAGCATACCACCAAGAAGGACGAACCACATCCAACAGGATTAACGGTGGACGCAAGAGGAAGCTGTCTGAAAGGGATGTTGGGGTGCTAACCCGGATTGTATCCAAAAAACATAAAACCACGGCTGCCCAAATCACGGCAGAATTAAATATGCACCTCAACTCTCCTGTTTCCACCAAAACTGTCCGTCTGGAGTTCAACAGGGTCAATATACACGGCTGGGCTGCTATAGCCAAACCTTTGGTCACTCGTGCCAATGCCAAACGTCGGTTTCAATGGTGCAAGGAGCGCAAATCTTGGGATGTGGACAATGTAAAACATATATCGATCTCTGATGAGTCCGCCTTTACTGTTTTCCCCACATCCGGGAGAGTTACGGTGTGGAGAAGCCCCAAAGAAGCGTACCACCCAGACTGTTGCATGCCCAGAGTGGAGCATGGGGCTGGATCAGTGATGGTTTGGGCTGCCATATCATCGCATTCCCTTGGCCCCATACTTGTGCTAGATGGGCGCATCACTACCAAGGACTACCGAGAATGGCTTTAAATCCCTCTGACCACTGTGCAGGACTTGTATCATTCCCAAGACGAATTGACGCTGTATTGGCCGCAAAAGGAGGCCCTACACCATACTAATAAATGATTGTGGTCTAAAACCAGGTGTTTCAGTTTCATTGTCCAATCCCTGTACTTTAGTGAGTAAAAACTTGCTCAAAAAACTTTTGTAAAAAATCTGATAGACCTGATACCAGGGGAAGAAGACTACATTACTATCATTTTTTACTTATTGCATGGTAATAAATGTTAACCAGCCTTTCCAAACATTATTTTTGTTCATTTTATTCATACTTTGTTAAAGGAACAAATAAAGATAACGTATTAAGACATTTTAAATTTCCTCTCTAAGTTTTCTTTGATCAGGCTTAAAAGGATTTATTTAAAAAATGAATAAAAATCATTGATGTTGAACTAAATGGGGCTTTTTTGTGAGTGTATATAACAATTTAAAAATATCTGAATTAATTGCAAACCATCTGGAACCACTCTCTGTATGTTATTTGAGGCAGCAAAAGATTTTTAGTGAAGGTTAGTGTGCAAAATCTCATTCAAAATCACGCCGACACTAATTCGATACTGCTTACAGAGGAGGACTATAAACAGTTTTTAAAAAATCAGCTTTCACTCTACTTTGATCTTAATGACTCACCTGATATATCGAGAAGCACCCTCTGGGAAGCCTCAAAAGCATATATAAGAGGTCAGCTCATTAGCTTTACTTCTAATTTGACAAGAAAGAGGGTACATTACACCAATGATTTACTGAACCAGATTAAAGAGGTGGATTCTAGATATTCAACCAACCCGGATCCTGACCTTTACAATGAACGTGTAAAACTTCAAACCGATTTCAATCTGACTACATCTACGAATGCTCTACTTCAGCTAACCAAGACAAGGCAGCGCTTCTTTGAATCTGGTGACAAAGTGGAAAAGCTTTTAGCTTTTCAAGCGCGAGCTCAGGCAACCTCCAAATTAATCCCATTCATCAGATCAGCTACAGGGGAGATTCTTTCTGATCCCAGGAAGATAAATGATAGATTTGCGTCTTTCTATTCAGAACTGTATACCTCCCTAGCCCCTTCCTTGTCACATGATACACTTAATGATATCAACTTTCCAAGGATAGATGGTGAACTGGGGGGAGGTCTGGGTGGGCCTATCACTATAAGTCTTTAAGCTTGGGCAAATCTCCTGGCCCGGATGGTTTCACCTCAGAATATTATAAGGCCAATGGGGATTTTCTGGCGCCTGTATTAACGGATGTGTATTATGAGGCCTTCTCAAACCAGCGCCTGCCTAGCACCTTATCAGAGGCTACAATATCGCTGATCCTTAAGAATGATAAAGACCCCTCACTGTGTAGTAGCTATAGACCTATTTCCCTCCTAAATGTAGATTTTAAGATTCTATCTAAAATTCTTGCAACCCGTCTCCAGCGAGTACTTCCCCGCATTATTTCATTAGATCAGACAGGCTTTATGACTGGACGACAATCATTCCATAACACCAGACGTCTTCTAAATATTATTCATACGCCAGGCACCTTATCACCTGAAATAATTGTATCTCTCGATGCTGAGAAAGCTTTTGATCGGGTCGAATGGGGATTTTTATATAAAGTAATGGAAAGATTTGGTTTTGATAACAATTTTATCCTTTGGGTTAAGCTGTTGTACTCATCGCCAGTGGCCTCAATTAAAACAAATGACAC